AAAGGTAGCAGCTAAGCGGACTGGGAAGTTCGGTCCTCCCAGAGGCCTCACACATCTGAACAGGTCCACCCGAGTGGCTTCCACTGAGTCCCCCGCTTCAGATCCCCAAGATCTCATATCCACATATATACCACAACTTGGGGAAGTCTGTCTCCAATTTAGATCTGACTACAAATCCCCAACCCCACCCAACAAAAGTCAAAAAGTACCACACACCTTGTCAGCCAACATTTTCCAAGCACTCTTTGCTCGCTGTAAGTCTTCACCCTTGCCGACGTGTGCAGAGACGGCATCCTCCAAGGCCGCCAAGGCTTCACGAGACTTTTGGGCTCGATTGGTGAAGTCCTCGGCAGTCCACGCCGAGGCGCCATGTTGGTCCAGCCACACTGAAACGGAAGTGTTTGGTTCCTGCAAAACAAACGGAAGTGTCTGGTTCCTGCAACGGCAGTTGTTGAATCGGTGACAATCCAGGTTCACATTGGAGACGGAAAAAGACATCGTGTACCACCAGAGCGTGAGACCGACTGCGAAGGAAGAACGGATCATGTCCCAGTCCGAAGGGTTGCGATTCTGGGATCCATTGTTCCACAGAGCAAATAGTTGCTGGAACACCATATGAATGGAACATTATATAGGTGTTGGATGCACCGAAATTAGCATTTCCCTGATGCCTGTATCTCCATTCATCTCCCCTCTGCCTGGTGGGATTTTGCCTAGACTTGGCTCAAGCCTCAACAAGTGGTTTCAACATCACTGGACCCGTTACACCCACTCCCTCAAACACGTTTGAGATCGGTGCCCCCGCGGCTCCTCAGTATGGCTTTTGATTGCCTCCAAGGTCTTTGCAGCCTTTGCCTCCGCCTCCTAGCCGTGTGCAGCTGACAAGGCTTTGTGTTTCCCCCGTCCTGCTTTGGCAAATCCTAGCCTCTCCGAGGCCTTCTTTAAGACAGTCTTCGAGTTCGGTGGCTCCGAAGCCCCCTAACAAAAACTTCCCTTCGTGATGCATCTCTTCTGTTCTTCTTCCCACTTTTGCGCCTTGTTCGCCTTCTCCTTCTCCTTCACTGCCTCCAGTTGCACCTTGAGGGCCTTCTCCTTCCGACTCACCTCACGGCACGTCGTAGTGGCACCACAACGACGAAGTCCCGAAAGTCCCAACAGGCATCCCATGGGATGCCATGAGTGTGTCGCTTTGTTCTTTGCACGTGGTTGACGAGTCACGGATGGCTGTTGATGCATTCATTAAATTTGCAAAAACGGAACTCCGTGTGGAGAGTGAACTTTGAATGAAAAACCTTGCCTGTCCGACTTTAAGCCAAAGCCTTCCTCGCCTGGCCGTTGACCTTGCGAATGGCCATGCTGATATCTCTCGGCACGCTCTCAGTGGACTCGCGGTGACGTCCTGGGCACGACGTGGGTGAACGCATGACCATGCTGCAGCATGACCATTTGTGAAAAATACGGGCCAAATCATTCAAGAGACGAACAAAAGTTTAGTTCATCCTTTGGTCCAGCCCAGCTGAGTCCAGCTGCAGTAAATGCTCCCAGTCCACAATCCGCAGTTAGTTTTAGGTGTTTTCTTCTTCCTCTCCTGGGGAGGTAGTTCAGTCATGTTCAGTGCCCTCTCTCTCACTCTCTCTCTCTCTCTCTCTCTCTCCCTGCGCTCTCCATCTGCCTTCAGGTCGAAATCTGCCCCAGCTAGGTTGGGGGTGATTAGAGGAGCCTTGCCTTCCCAAGACCCACCCCCGAACGACGCTTGGTGCTGAAACGACCGACCTTTTGGAAGGCACGCACCGTTTGAGCCCGCAAAAAGGAGGCCGCCGTGTATGGAAACTCTCACGAAATCGTCTTGAAATTCAGGTCCAACCTGACATGTTCGACCCCGATATCTTGACATTGTATATCAAAGAAGCGGTGGAAGAGGTAAGGATCTTTGTCAGACTTTGGTGTCCCTATTCTACGTGACGGTCACTCAGTTGCATTGGATTCTGTGGTCCTTCGGTCGCCCATGTGACCCAGGCACGTCACCACACACACCTAGGTCACCTAAGCGCATTCAAAGATTCCACGCAACTCAGTTAACATCGTACCGTGACCGCGGAAAGCTGACTCATCCCGAAGAGCCAGCAAAGATGTAAGAAGCGACGCCACCAAGGCCTTGGTGAACATCGCTGGAAGCCTGATACTAAAGAAGACCAGATGACTTCTTGAGCTGAAAATGCTGGCGGCGTATCTTCCTCGCTCTCCCAACTGCTTGACCCATCAATTGTGGCAGCTGCCCTCAAAAGGGCTATCAACTCGGAGTCCCACCAAAAGAGCTAGTAATCTTTTGTCTGAATGAATCCCCATAATAATTAGCTTGGATGGCCACCGCAAATCTCGCAAATCTACACCTTAGAATGAGCCCTGCCCAAACGGATGGACCGACTCCTTGCTGCCTTCGGCTTCGTCCATCGCACGCCCGAGGGTCCACACCCGGTGGGCCCCACCAAAGGCTGCCACCGTGCCGCCCTGCTGCTCCACACGCCTGGAAATCTGGGCGTCGGTCCGGTCCAAACGTGAGCCGCGGTCCGCGCCGCGGTCCGTGCTGCCCTGCAAAAATGAATTTGGATTTTAAATGATACTTTCCCTCAGTGCCAAGATTACTGAGTTTCCATCACCGGAGGTGAAACCCTCCTCCCGTCATGGGGTGGAGATGTGGCGACCCTATTGTTGTGGATGGGCTGGGCACGAAAAACACCAAAGGATTGGCGAGGCAGAGGCATTGCGGGATAGGAGCATCATAGAGCATCACGAGATTGGTTTATCTGCGGATGTTGATTGTTGGGCCCCCGCCCGAAAGACACACAAGGCCCGAATGTTTCTTTCCCCTGTCCTGCGCTCCGCAGGGTTCTCAGGCCGGTGGTCCACAGACAAGCGGACCGCTGAGCCATCCTGACATACAGCCAAGAGACGGCGGGACCCGATGGGCTCCATCTACTTTGCTTTGGTCACTCGAGGGTTTACACTCAAGGGCTCTTTGAGTTTGGAATGCACTGAAGGAAAGAGTGTGTTGGAATATGCCAACCTATGTACAGTAATTACATGAAGACCGTTACTGAGTGGTTTTTGCCTTTGGGCACCTCATATGAGTTCCGAAGCACTGTGGACCTTCTTCAAGTTTCCTTCAACATAAGAGGTCCATGAGATGGGTGACTTCCAAACACTGGGGAGCACATCCACTTCGTAGGCAGCATTCAGTATTCCACCTTGCTGTTTTTTGGAGGGAGGCAACTTAAACTTCCTGGCCGTGTCGCAAGTGCAAAGCCAAAGATCACGCTCTCGACGCTGTGCCTTCTTCCCCAAGACTGCCCTGCTGTCGCCGACGTTGGCGACCACCAGCCGTAGTCGGCCTTCCTCGCAAAGGGGGGCACGAAAGGTTGCACTGAATGACTTAGTCGACTTGCTCGACTTAGTGTTCAATCTGGTGAGTACGAGGATCCGAGGATCTTACAGATCTCTTACGACCCTGTTTCACTCCCGCACTCGTGTCAAAGACCCTCATCTAATACCACATCAGGTGGGAGGCGCCTCGTCAGGGCCAGCCAGGCAGCAGGCGCAGCAGGTGCTACCGGAAGTGGCCCAGGTCCGACCTGGCTCGATGGAAATGAAACCAACAAGGCAATACAAGGCATGCGACTCATACCGCACTCATACGGTCTCATGTGACTCATGATCTCACTGAGTGAAATTCTCACTCTTGCGTCCATGTCCAGAACCTCAAAATAGCCCCCTTCCGCTTCAGTTTGCCACTCTCTTGCTGAAGTCCCTTCACCTGGGGCTCTGGCCAGCACCACCTTCCAACTTGTTGGCGTACCTAGCAGGTTGGGTCGAAGCTTTCGAGTCACCAAATGCAGAGGTGGGAGGTCACTGGTGGAAGGAGTGTTCCGTGACCTTGAAGCCTGCCAGCAAGGAAGACTTGAGAATCTGCTCGGCATTGGCCTCCTTAGGTGGTCAAGCCAAGTGAAGAATCACAAGGAAGGGTTCTTGATGGTAATCATCAAGTTCATCTAAGATTACTTTAAGCCCTGCCCTTGAGGTTCCAGGCCCGCTTCCGCCTCAGCTGCAGGTAGCCATTTCTGAAACTTGAAATTGAGGCCGGTATATAACAAGGTGGATGCTGATAAACAATATGTACAATATATTACAATATCTCGATATAGATGTGTGTGTGTGTGTGACATTAAAGATCTTCCCACTCACTGTATGTCACAGCCCAACTTGACACGCAAGGCCATGACTGATCCCGGAGCGAGTCCAAGATGTTGCGCTCCAAGTTCAGCACTACCTCAAATTGAGGGGCGACCGGCCTGCTTACGGCTTACTGGAACCTCCAGCAAGAGCAAATGCGCGACAAAAAGCGAAAAAGAGAGTCCTGCCCCCTCTCCAACTCCCAGTCTGGATGATGAACATGGACTCTGCAGCCCGTGCCAAATAAGGCATGGACGAAATTGCTGCAAGATATGCCTGCATGACCATCCATGACCGCATAGAGTGCCATGGCCTCAACAAAATACGAAACCCAACCGAGTTTTGTGCCGCCACATTTCGAAACGTAAGTCCGCCGTCAAGTAGCAAACTCATTCGGAAAAAAAACGTTAATGAGTGATATTGAGAGTGTTTTGGGAATCCTGTGCGATCCCCTGCAAAGCAACTCCACTGCTTCATTGCTGTTGTTCTCATACTCGTCTTCCCCAAATTGAGGTTCACACTGCTGGCTTTCCGGATGTTCCCAACCTCAAGGGCAGTTGCCCGGGTGATTTGGTTCAGGGCTTCGGTCGAAGAAACAGAAGCACCAGTCACCCATGTCTTTTCACAAAGGCTGAGCTCGCGAGTTCATTCTACCGTAAATCAATCACGTATTCAGGGTATTTAAGGTTTGCATGCACTTGCTTCCTGGCGGTTGATTGAGCAAATGAGCTTTGTGAGGCCTGCATGTTGGAACTTCAAAGATCTGCCGTCCGTTTTTTCGTCGCGTCCCTGCGCGCCCTCGTCCGGGGCGCTTGCGGCGCAAGCGCGGCTCTTGCTCGCGCTCAATATCTGCGCTTCGCCCAGGGGGCATTGAACTTGAGCAAGGTTGCGGCCTCGCGCTCCAGGCCACCCAAACCTGTCACCGCCAGGCTCAGCATGTTCCCTCGAGGCCGGTGGCCGCCCTCTTGGGCCAACAAGGCGCGGGCGTCCACGAGGCACGGCTGAAACACGCGTTGCAAGAAACCACACTCCAAATCCGGGGGAAGGCATCCCAGCGTTCGAAGTCGACTGGTGGCGTCAGACAAGCGATGTGGCTTCCCCTCATCTGGATCCTGTTCGTGCCAAATGAAGTTCTTACTTGGAGGATTGGGCTTCCTTCGCACCAACCTTGAGCCCAATCTCCGAAACCCCTCTTGCCCAGCCACAAATGACTGCCAGGCCTGTGCCACAGAGGTGGCGTCACTATGGATCATGTGTAGTCTATAGCTGGGTTGCAAGCGACTTGCGATCGCCAACTGCAGCGCCTCTGTGACACCCCTCCAGCCGGAGGTGCAATGATAGGCCTCCACCACGGCGTGGAAGGTCAAAAGATCCGCACACAAAGGGAGGGACTTCAAGACTTCCAGTCCAACACTCCAACGTGAGGCGTTGCTGCAAGCTGCCACCACCCGGTGGTAGCACACTAAGCTCATGTCGAACCCCTCGCTCCGTCCAGTCTCAAGCACGTGCAAGGCGCGGCGCCACTGGTTCATCCGCTCGCAAGTGCTCAAAAGCGATCCCAGCCTAATTAGGCACATCAGGACATAAATAGAGCAAACCCATTCCCCAACCCTCCCCCAACGCAGTTCAATCGAGAACAAACTGGGCGAAACGCCAATTACCAAAACGAGTCTTCGCCAAGCCAATCGGCAGGACCAAGTCCACACCCAACCGCATCTTCCGAGTCTGCTCCAAAAGTTCCACCGCTTGATCCATCTGCCTCGCACGCGTGCAGCAGGTGATGGCTGCGCTGCAACCCACCAGGTCCGTGCCATTCTCCAAGAGGGCCAAAGCGCCTCGCCACCGCAGCCCGTGCACGCAAGCACCTCGGGAAACGGAAGGGGGTGGAACCAATGTGGAACCTGAGCGAACGACGGACCCGTGATCTCGCGAGGGCATGCTCCCACTTGCTCTACCGAAGGACACGGATCGCATAGAGGACAAAAACAACTAAAGTGAAGAAAGGGCAACTGCCCTTTCTAATCCCAGCGGTGTTCCCCGAAACCTGGCTTGCTCGAGGACCCGCCTGCCCCCCCAAACCCTCTCGTTGTTCTTGCTATTGGTTTACACGGGGTCTTCGAAGATGGGCTCCAATCATACCACAAACGAGGTATACTGTATACTTAAACAAACACATGCATGTTCCCGTCACCATGTTGTTGTGATTGACTTGACGTTCCTGCCTTTTTGGCCAAGATCCTGTCATAGCCGTAAGGCATGCCTTAAGATGTTTCTGTTTCTATTTGTCGGCCTTTTCAGGCTCCAATGACACTCTTGAAACCAAGGGCATCTTCCCTCTGAGGCGTGAGGCACCAAGGTTTTTGCCTTGCAATCGCCCAGAGGTCAGCCCTAGTTGGTCAGGTGACTTTGGGAATTGTATTTTACAGGATCAGCTCTAATAGTACTAACTACCTAGCTAACCCTGTTAGTCCGGTAAGCGCTACCTTTTGCTCTACCTTGAGAGTCAACGCTACGGGGTCCATGGGGATGAGGTGAATTTCAACACCCCCCTTTACAAGGAGCTACCCGTAGGGAAAATCTCGGGGGAGGATCAAATTCTAGCGACGAAGGAATCATATTAGAAATCCCTCATCAAGCTCGTGCATGCACTATACAAGGAGAACGTAGCTACCCTAATGTACAGTTTTCGCCTCACTCGGCATGTGGTTAAACATGCTGGGCCCAGGTTAGTGTTAAGCGTTGATTAAAAGTTCACTCTCCGACTATGGCAATCCTGTTATGGATGCATTGGGAAGTGAGACAATGAAGTGAAACATCATCTCACAGCGCGTCAGAAGGTGATCTTTATCTCAACACTCATAAGCTGCAAGGCATACCATTTATGGTAGCTATTCAACATCTGCTTAAAGAAATTGTATTCCAAAACGCTCCGTCTCGTCATGCCATCCCTGCCTCAACCACTCCCACAATTCCATGTGATTGGGCCAATAGTTCTCGCCCCATGGGTCATCGCGTTGCCATTGTACTCCAGGAAAATCAAAGGGTTCCAATGGTCGATCAATAGTTCCACGAATGCTGGAAGTCGGCGGCCCAGTTAAGGGTGCATTATGTGACGATGATGCCGAAGTGGATGAAGTTCCGGGCGGCAATGGCGGCGGTGGCACGTTTTGTACATTCCATTGCTGTGGAGCATAAGGTCCTCCTCGAACACTCACCTGCTGCTTATCCTTGCCCTTTCCTTTTACGGAAGGTTGCAACCGACTGTAAAGGTCTGTAAGCGGCGGCGGCTTCGGCGTGAGATTGAAATCTGTCGGCCTTGTATGTACCGGAATGCCACTGGCTGTATTGGGTGGCACTTTCGGTGGAGGAACCTTTGGAGGAGGCACCTTTGGTGGTGGGACCTTCGGAGGTGAAGGTTTTGCTGGGCGTGGCTTGGAGATTGGTGAAAGGCCAGTTGCAGGTGGGTTGTTGGGTGCTGGTAACGGTGGCGGTGAAGTTGGGGGACCCAAGAGGTCCTTGGGGATGTTGCCACGTTTAGGTGGAAGGACACGGCTCTGGGAAATTGCTCGGGCGACAGAACCACGCGGCGTCCCTTTTGCGGGAGCGGCTGAGCCTGCTGCCGAAGAACTGCCTTGGCCTTTGCCCTTTCCAGAAACATCTCTCCGTTCACCGACATCCTGTTTAGAGGAGTCACCCTTTCCTGAAACTTGTCCTTGAGCAGGAGGTGCATTCATACTGAATACCGACGAGGTATGCGTCCCTGTTACGGGAGCTGGTGGCTGAGGCACGCCTGGCGGTGGAGTCCGGTTGTCAACCCAAGTTGCAATACGACCAGATTGATCTCGGTCTTCTTTCCTCCTCCACTGCAGCCTCGGTCGTTTGTCTGCATCTCCAATAGTCTCCATATACATCTGCGATCGCTTCCGCGTCAACGGGGGCCTTGTTACAGGTCCTTGAGGAGATGGGGATCCACGCTGTCCAAACTCCAACAAAAGTTCTTCCAACCTTCTGACTTCGTCAGATGACATGTCCTGGCCACAATCGGCAAACTTGGGATAAGGCGTGGCCATGCGCTGTTCGATGTTCATGAAGCCCATCTGTGAAACTGGCTGTCCACGATCGCGTCCCTGCACATTTGCAGACTGTTGCGCGTTTCTCTGATATTGAATGTTTGCATAACTTTCATTCTGCTCTGCAAACTCACTCAAAATCTTGTAAATGCCTGTCGTGTCTCCACGAGGAATACGAATTGAATGAATATCGCCATAGACGTCCGTCGTGGGGATAAAGCCCTGGATCTTGATCTCGTCTCGGCTATCGCCAATTACGGCGGCGTATTGTCGGAGTGACATAAACTCTCGGCGATAACTGATCAGAAAGTTCTCGTCGACGCCTTGCTTGAAACAGGTATGTAGGTTGTCAACACCGCATCGAATATACGCGAGCTTGGCGAGGTCAACCCTGTCCAGTCGATCCAAATCACTGACAACCGACTTCCCTTTTGATCTCTGCTTCGCTGATCTCGTGGGTGCCGGTAATTGCAGTGACGCAAACAAGTCTTCTTGCGCTGCATCAAACGCTGTGCATCCTTCTCCGGTTAAGGAGGTGGCGAAGACGTCGTCGCGGTTGAATCGATCGAATACATTCTCATATCCTGATTTCAATGCTTTGCGAAGGCGACTGCGAGCTGCAAGAATAATCTGACTGTCAACTGACGGGCTGCCACGAGCTGGAGGTCGTCCAGACTGTAGGTCCTGCGCGGCAATGCTGTCCAGCATGCTTGTTGCGGTCATGTTCTTGGGCACGCCCCCCTGCTCTTGTAGCACCTTTGCACGCCTCATCTGAAGTCGCATAAACTTTGAAATCGGTCCATCTGTTGTATTGCTCTGAAATACTACTCCGCATCGATGACAAGATGCCATTCCTGCTAAGGAAAGTGTCGTACATTTATCGCAGCTGAAAGTTCGAAGATGTAGAAAATATCCACTCTCGATCTGTGGTACAGCTGTATTGCGATTTGCCTCCATCTCTTCCTTCTTTGCGGCACTGCTGCTAGCTGTGCGTTCTTCGGGAGTGGCGTCGCTTGTACCTTCCAAAATGGTGCGTACTTCCGACACTTTTCCCGGGACCAATGTCACATCATCTTGCGGAACACCGACCTCAATGTTCGAAGGATCCAATGCCTGCGGCCTCGAATAGAAAACTTCCGGCTCCGCATTTGCGCGGGCTCGAGTTGCAAATAGAATACACGTATTCGGAACGTGATGGCTGGCAATCACCGCGCCAGAATTTGTGAGGAAAAGATCAACTCCTGCTTCAATCACATCCGGTGTAGAAAAACAAATCTCCACTGGTCGGTCAGCACGAACACCAGATATCGCCTTCTGGTTTCCCAGAGGTTGTGTTGAAAAGAAGGAATTGCCTTTGCTTTTCGGTCCACCGGCTCCACCGCCGGGAATGAGCCCGCTCGCAATAATGGATCGCGCAGCACCTTCATGCGTTCGGTGGTAAAGCCGAGGTGGTATATCGCAGTTCCCGTGCGCTGTCAAACGAGCATTGTACCTGTGTACATGGTCAGGACGGCAGTAGATTAGTACTGCTAGCACTTCATTTGATCGCGTCTCGAGAACGTCGTCAGTGTGGCCTTGTCCACATCGGATCTTGACGGGGGCGGCGAAAAGTTCGAGCTGCTCGTTCACACGAGAGTCGTACACGCATTGAAATTCGAAACGATCTTTGTGGTCATAAATAGCCATCGAAATCAACTCAAAAACATTCATAGAACCAGCATAATCAGGGAATTTGGCCTTCGCCAAATCTAGTAGTTTGTAAATTGGCAAATAACACGCCGGATCATAAATACTGACGTCTGGGACGTGTCCACGAAGAAGACCAGAAATACCGCGACGAACATGAGGTGGCCAGGAGCAGCACCACTCCCAAGGCCCATGATGATAATCCTCATATACATAATAATACCTATGGCCAGTAACGTGGTACAGCACGTACTGCTTGGCGTCGCGGCCCAGCTCATCCTCGAGGAGTTGGATGTTGCCATTCCCGATGGCCTTGAGTAGGTGATCCGGGTAAGGATACCTTCCGAGAACCTCTTCAACCTCGACCTGCATATTTTTGTACTCGGGGTTAGGCTTCGTCTCGCGAACGAGAACGCCCTTCCCTTTTCCAGAAAATTTCAAGTCGGGGTTGTCGTTGTTCTCAGGTACAAGAAAGCTCCCCGTTACGGGAGCGACCGAAGGGGTGCCTTGTCCCTGCCCTTTGCCTCGCAATCGCGGCAATGGTGGTCTCGGGTCAGATGAAGACGCTTGACCCTCTGCGGGTTGGTCCGCGTCCGTAGGGATCATAGGAACATCTCCGGTTGCACCTTCTTCAACAGTCGTTTCATCATCAGCCAAAACATCAAGAACCTCGGCCTCGATCTTCGCCATCTGTGGATCAGGTTCTGGTGCTGTCGGCAAGGCATTTGCGCCTGCGATACCAGTATCAGGCCCAGGTACTTCGTCGGTTGCGCCTGTATAGCTATCGGGCATCTCAACGTCCGCGTCGGTTTCCTCAACCTTCGGCTCGACTTTTACGTCGGCTGTCGCAACGTCATCCATCGGCTCGTCCAATGCGGGCTGTTCCTCCGGTAGCTCAATAACAGGTACAACATTGACAAACTGCAACACATCTTGAGGATCTTCGCCTTCCAGGTTAACGGAGGCCTTGAGCTCTTCGACTGACACGTCATTCGTCTCAAAGGGGCTGTACGCTTGTACTTCCTCGACAGTAAACTGCCTGCTCTTCCCCAACGTCTGTTGCATTCGCGCGTTTCGCTGTTCAACAAATTCATTGATAAGTTGTAAAT